CCGCCCTCCTCCATGCATAGCTGGCAAGCGCGGAGGAACCACATCCCAACCTCATGCGCATGATACTCTGTTAAACCGTCTGGATCAGTCTCCAATGCTCGAGCATTCAACCTCGATCCGTAGGGGTATATCTTTCGCATGACGACAGCGACGAAGTCCGATTTCTTCAGSCGCTCCTCAGCAGGTGTGAGGACGTCAGGTCCAAAACGCTGCTCCAACGCCTCCTTTAGCCGCTTCTTCGTGAACTGCATGAACTGCGCCTCTGATACACAATCGTGCGGGCTGCTCACTTTCTTCGCTTCCTTTAGTTGCAGCATATTGTGGAAGTGCTTTCGAATGTTTTTTATTTTGTGGTGGCAATCCTTCTGCCACTTGATGTTCATAGCTCGCAACTTTGGTCTCAGCGCCGCACAATTATCCGAGACAACGCACCGGATCTTCAACCCCTTGTCCATCAGCCCTCGCAAAAGTTGCACGACGGCTGGCACCTCCAGCGCATTCGATGCCTTGCCTTCAATCTTCGGACGGAGAGTGTGAACACCTACAACAAGTTGAGTCTTGTACTCCATCGTGGTGACAGTGCAATGCTGCGCGCCTCTGGCAGAGTCATATCGACCATCAACCATCAATGTCACTGGCTCACCACGACGCATCACAGTGTCAATGACAAACTCGCAATATTTTATGCCCTGCCGTACGACCTTGGCATTCCACCCCTCCGCCCCCCCCAGTTCTGTGCGCATAAACTTGTAGAATGTGGGTTTGTGCACCGAGTACATCCCTAAACAAACACAAAAGTTGTCAAGGAGCGTGAACGTAAGGCCGGCGGTGACCGTGGCATGAAAGAGTTGCTGCATCAGTCGCGACTGATAGACATTCGTGGTCACGAGTGTCGTGTGCCACGTCCATTTGCATTTCTTGTCGCATGTGAACGTCAGCTTACAGAGCTGCGCAAGATAGGAGACGGACTCCACAGACACACGGCACGAGCCCTTGTGCCACGGGCAATATAGATGAAACATGGCCAGCAATTGAAGAAGCTTAACCGGCTCTAGAAACACAACATCCGGCGCCGTTGGTCCACTCCATCTACCCATCGCCTCCTCAACACTGGCACGGTCAATTTCAGGGCCAGGACCGCACTGATCAACACCGTCCCAACCGGCCTTCTCGCACAAAACCTCCCTACCGTCCACACATCCCGAATGATCACCAGCCCAATGATCGGCGACCAACATGATGTCGCGGTGTAGACTGTCGGCGTCCCCGCCCTCCTCCATGCATAGCTGGCAAGCGCGGAGGAACCACATCCCAACCTCATGCGCATGATACTCTGTTAAACCGTCTGGATCAGTCTCCAATGCTCGAGCATTCAACCTCGATCCGTAGGGGTATATCTTTCGCATGACGACAGCGACGAAGTCCGATTTCTTCAGGCGCTCCTCAGCAGGTGTGAGGACGTCAGGTCCAAAACGCTGCTCCAACGCCTCCTTTAGCCGCTTCTTCGTGAACTGCATGAACTGCGCCTCTGATACACAATCGTGCGGGCTGCTCACTTTCTTCGCTTCCTTTAGTTGCAGCATATTGTGGAAGTGCTTTCGAATGTTTTTTATTTTGTGGTGGCAATCCTTCTGCCACTTGATGTTCATAGCTCGCAACTTTGGTCTCAGCGCCGCACAATTATCCGAGACAACGCACCGGATCTTCAACCCCTTGTCCATCAGCCCTCGCAAAAGTTGCACGACGGCTGGCACCTCCAGCGCATTCGATGCCTTGCCTTCAATCTTCGGACGGAGAGTGTGAACACCTACAACAAGTTGAGTCTTGTACTCCATCGTGGTGACAGTGCAATGCTGCGCGCCTCTGGCAGAGTCATATCGACCATCAACCATCAATGTCACTGGCTCACCACGACGCATCACAGTGTCAATGACAAACTCGCAATATTTTATGCCCTGCCGTACGACCTTGGCATTCCACCCCTCCGCCCCCCCCAGTTCTGTGCGCATAAACTTGTAGAATGTGGGTTTGTGCACCGAGTACATCCCTAAACAAACACAAAAGTTGTCAAGGAGCGTGAACGTAAGGCCGGCGGTGACCGTGGCATGAAAGAGTTGCTGCATCAGTCGCGACTGATAGACATTCGTGGTCACGAGTGTCGTGTGCCACGTCCATTTGCATTTCTTGTCGCATGTGAACGTCAGCTTACAGAGCTGCGCAAGATAGGAGACGGACTCCACAGACACACGGCACGAGCCCTTGTGCCACGGGCAATATAGATGAAACATGGCCAGCAATTGAAGAAGCTTAACCGGCTCTAGAAACACAACATCCGGCGCCGTTGGTCCACTCCATCTACCCATCGCCTCCTCAACACTGGCACGGTCAATTTCAGGGCCAGGACCGCACTGATCAACACCGTCCCAACCATCCCACCACGTCTGCGGCAGGGCAGGTGTCGGTGTGCAGCGACCCACGCTGCGGGGTCTGCCGCGCCCTCTGTCACTGCGATGCGATGCACGACGCGATGACGGGAACGAGTTCTGCGATCCGTCATGAGACTCACCCAACCCTCCGCTCGCTGAACCTTGTGAACCCCCCTGACCGTAATCAACACCGGAATCGCCTGGCATATAACGCAACGTGAAATCTCGACCGCACACCCGAGATGGCAACGAAGAAGAAATCACATCTCCCACCTCGTCTCCAAACTCCGCTCGGATGGTTGGCAAGGACCAGTACAGCAGCCGATCAATAACGTCGCTGACCGGTCCACGATGGTCACCGAGATCGGCCATAGCTTCGCAGAGACCGTACAACCGTCTCCGACACGCGTCCCGCACACACACTCGCATGATGTTGTTGCCGCCTGAACACGGCGTGCCGCCGAGTGCCGCAGAGCTATCCACATCGTCAAACAGAGGTGTGGAATCTGGAGCGACAAAGGGAGCCTGAGGCGGCACCGCAAACGAACCCGCCGCCGCGTCGACGACTCGTCGACGTGAAACGGGCGGAGAACGCAAAGCGTCGCTGCGATCTCCTGGAAGAGAACCGCCTCCAGCGGGACATGGCGGGGCCACCGCATGTGACCATACAGGTGCTAAAGGAATCGTGGCCGCATAGTCCAGCTATCTAGGCAGCAGTGGGGATGGCAGCAACGCAGCACCGTACACACCTCCAAACGTGGCCGCGTCACGAAACCTGCCCACACCCGGCGGAGATGCCCCCAACACACCGGCGAAAGGTGAAATGGGTGTCACGCCCGCGCCAACGACGCTGTCAGTCGCATGCGAAACGGTACCGCGGCGCCGTTTCCCCAAACGGACCTCCGGACCACCGCTGTGTGGTGAAACACCCAACAACCCCCGCGCTGCACATGGAGATCGATCGACGCTTACGCGAGGATCGGGGGTACCCTGCGGAGATCCCTGAATGGGCGATGATTGAGCGGGGACATCTTCTCCGCCTGTCGGTGACATTGTCAATGTTAGGGTCTGCACAACACCGAGAGTCAGACAAGCACGAACTGAGGAGTCAACGAAAACGTGTGTGTGTGTGTGTGTGTGTGTGTGTGTGTGCGTGTGTGTGTGTGTGTGTGTG